CCTCTCTCAAACACAGGTAATTATTGTCTCCAAGCCACCAGGCCTCTGCAGCCTTTATGCTGTCAATGGACATTAATTTAGATTTCTTTTGGACAAATATGAATGCGACTATTTTCTCCATCATTTTCTGTCTTTTATTATAGAGGAAAAAAAAATACATGTTCTGAACGTTTTTCGTTTTACATAAAATCACACACATTTTTACAATATAATTTCACTTATTTGTTTATTCTTTAATATTAATTTCACGATATATGATAACGACTTTGAGATATACATTCCATCTTTTTGAAACCACAATAACACACTACACACACGGTTTTATAACATTTCCACAGGACCCATTGGATTGCACAGAATGAAAAATGTCTACATTTTCCTTTTAATTATCTATTTTTTTCAGATTCAGACACCGAATTTTTGAGACGAGTCTATCAAATTAACTTTAGAACAGGCCATGAGTTTTCAAATGTAATGGAAAAAAGCATTATGGTAAATTGAGTGTGCAGAATTTCGGGGTCCCCATCTATTGAATTTGGTTCAGGGCTATGGGTGTGTATTACAGGTCAGGTGAATTTTGTTATTGCCGATTTTAAAAGCTCATCAAAGAACATTTCAAATATTGGAGAAAAAAATATCAAAGCATTTACCCTTTCAGGCAGGAGAAACCAATTCGGAGATTGTTTAATTTACACTTCCCAGTTTCATTAAGCTTTTATGTGTCTGAAATATAATACATTCAATGCATAGTTCATATAGCTGCTGTGTACTTCTTTGATATCGTGCATTTCCAGTATTTTAAACTGCTTGGGGAAGGTCCAATGTCCTCATTTCTAACGAAACTTCTGTTATCTCTAAAAGCAATCATCGGTTGCTGGTTATGCCATTGTGTTATTTCTGTGTCCACAGGCCTTTCTGGATTTAACACCACATTCACTGCCCATAATCATAATGGAAATCACCTAAAGAAGTAAGTGGTATTTCAGAGTTTTTTATTTTATATTCTTTTAAATGAACTTATCTTAAATCACATTATGCTGTCGAAAGTCCATCCATCACAAACTGTAGCGTTACATGAAGTGAAGTCATGAAGACATACTGCCCTTTTTGCAATTTTGTTTAACTTCAATATTGTAAACGTTCACTCCACTGGAAAATATGTATATGTACGTCTGTACGCATATTTATACAACATGTACTGTCCATATAGTGTGTTGTGGATTCATTGGTTTCCCTCACTGCACTACTTGTGTGTGTAAGCGCGCGTTTTTTCTGAATTGATGCAAGAGAGTATGAAAATGTCTGAGTGTATTGTGCGCGCTTTTACGCATGAATTAAGCAGAGGGGCTCGTGTGTTTTTAATTGTTTTCACTAAACGGGGATTTGCAGTTAACATCTAGTTCCAGCAATAGCTCGCGTCTACTCCTCTATGTTATATTTGAAAGCCTCTATGAGCCCTTCCATTGAGTGGATGAAACCAGATATGCTGCATATACCTCCTATTACAAAGATGGCGACATCAAAGAAAACCTGGTGCCATAGCAGCTTTCTCCATAGAAGCCTGAGGTGGAAGAGGCTGGGGAGCAGAAAGCACAGGCCTGCACCTGTCAGGCTGCCAGTGAGGCCCATGAGGAGGGCGAAGTGTGGCACAAAAACCGCCATGAGCAAGGTGAACACGACAAGGGTACATCTGAGAGCGAGTCCCCAGGGTTTTATGCGTCCATCGCCTCCGTAGCAATCCGGAAAAGTCGCACGTCCTCCGTCCTGGAAAAAGGATTTCTCAAAAACCTCGACAGCAGCGAAAAACGGCAGCGGATACGACAGCAAAGCTTTGGCCACTAGAAAGATGTTGACGACGGCTCTGATGGTGGAGGGCAGGTTGTCTGTGATGACCTCCTTGGTTGCATCAGCCCAGGTCAAGTAGGCCACCAGGGCGAACAGGCCCTTGAGGATACAGGCAGCGATGTGAGTCCAGTTCATCATGCAGTGGAAGTCGCTGGGTTTCGACATGCTCCCCTCCATGGATGGCAGGAAGATCTGCGAGGTGTAGCTGAACACGATAATCCCGATGGAGATGGGGAACTTCTTGACATCGATGTAAAACTTGACCTTGTCCCAGGCCCAGTCCCTGGCTCTGGAGAGGCAGTAGGCTATCACCAGGACATTGATGACGAAGTGGGCCATGGTGCATAGCAAGCTGAACTTGGAGACGGCTTTCAGGCTCTTGAGGAAGGCGCAGGGGAGCAGGGCGACGGTGGCGAGGATGGCCCAGGACTTCTGGGAAATGGGCATGGTGGGGAAGCTGTTATACATGAGATTGCCACTGACAACAACATACAGGATGCAAGTCATCACCAGCTCTATGATTTGGGCTACATTCACGATATGGCCACCTAAAGTCGGGAATCTGGGCGCGCAGCAGGCGTTGGCAATGTCCACATAGGATTCCCTCACACGGACCAGCCGCCCGTCTTCGTCCTCTTCGTACAGGCAGGCAATGAGGATTTTCCCCGTGTAACAGCACACCACGGCGGCGAAGATAATGAGAAAGAGTCCGAGGTATCCTCCGTGCAGGATGGCGTAGGGCAACCCAAGAACGAACATCCCCTGAAAATTGGAAAAAAACAGAGACGGTCATTGTAAATGGTTTACACTTTTAGGATTTAAATAGGCCTATCAGATTATTAATACTTATGAACACATTATTTTGTATACAAATTAGGCTAAAACACATCTTATTATTTTCTTATTATAATGTGCGGCCTTGTTTGTGGTCTGCCTGTGTCTTCAGTTGATGTCAGTCTCGGTTTCATGTAGTGGGTTTTCCACTTTGCTTAAAGCAGAATCCGCCCGCCTCTGACGTCACATCACCACGAGCTGAAGGAGACACACTCTGACGTCACGGTGACCGCCGTGACCACAGCCGTGATAAGGCTTGAAAGCGATTGCGTCTAGGGATTTTTGTCGCATAGCCTCCACACGCTGCAGACTCCACTCTCTCGAGTAAATCCTCGCACTTTGAATTATGTTAGAGCAAATAATCTCCGCAAAATATATATGTTCTGCTACTTATTGGAATAAATGTGACACAAACTATTATTTTATGTTGCGTAATAAAGTGCCCTTGTATTAAAATCGAAACCCTCTCAATCTTTATGTTGCAAATAATTGTGGTCAATTTAAATAGCCCTTAAATCTTCGAAAACGATTAAAAAAAAAGAGGCCTTAGTTATTATTTTCTAAAGTTATTATAGCCTACGGTCACAGTCTCCAAAACGATTGTGATGTTCTTTATATATTAATTTATTCATAGCCATGCGGAGTACGTCGTTATCAGGGGCGTGCATCGGTGACACTGGACATCACTATACAGACAAAGAATGTGTGTGTTGAAGAGGAGGAGGAGGAGGAGGGGGGGGG